AAGTTAAACTTTTTGTTTAAATGGGAGAATCTGTTTGCCCACGACTCCTGTAATGAAATACTTAGCTGTTTATGTTTTAAAATAATTTAGTATGCAGTTGAAACCCGCAATAACGAAACCCCGCAAGTACGAAATTCCCTCGGCAATGAAATATTTCCGGATCCCCGGCGAACGTTCATAGAAGCCCATGTATTACGTATCTCGCGGCAATGAAATGCTTTTGGACAGCGATCCCGCATTAACGAATTTTCTACCACGGTGCAGGCCTTATTTTACTCTCCCGAAAAAGGTTCTGTTGAAAATATGCTCGTATGCATGTTATGCGCACTCAAAATTTGTAAACGTGGGTATCGCCATTTTCGTTTACTTAAATCGGCGATGGGGTCTGTGTCAAGCAACATGCCTGGCCACAGTGCAGCAGGCGATGGCAAATGATCAGGCGATGGGAAATGATTATGCGGGCTTCACCACCACCGTGCAACCATCGCGCACGGATTGAGCTTCAGCCTCGCCAGACGAAGATTTCGACGAAGGCGCACTTGACGGCGAGAGTGGTGGCAGTGCAGTGCTTCTATCCCTGACCAACGCCTGGGGGGAATTTCGAGCCATCGACATCCCACTTGAACTCACCGTTGATGCGTTCATTCGCGTCAGTGACGATGTAGTTGTGTACGAGAAAGTGACCAACGAGGCCATTATCGAAAGTGTGTGCAAAGCTGACAACACCGAGGACCAAGAAAAGACGCACGTGGAGAAACCCAACCCGCGGGTTGTTTTGGATGCGCTGGACAACCTTCGCTCCTTTTTCGGCGCACATGACGACAACGTAGCAATGGACCACTTTTTCCAGTGTGAAGGGAGAGCTTTGAAATGGTTGCATGGCAAGGGTCGGCAAAGTAAGTTGACCGACTTCTGGCAATAAATTTTCGTTCTACTGGCCGTATCGCTGTTTTTACGTCTCGCACTCGCGGCAACGAAATTCTCGCGAAAACGAAATTTTTCGTTTTCCCTGGCGTTTTCGTTATTGCGGGTTTCGACTGTATGTGGAGCAGTGAAGGTTCGTGCTACGAGCTTGTTCACGACGTCATTACGTTTTTTTTTTTTTTTTTTTTTTTAGCAGGCGTGAGCGTTAACGCTTGTACTTGTGGTTGTTCTCTGCGGTGGTGTAACAGTTGCGGTGCTTGGCTGCTGACCTAAAGTTTGCGGGTTTGATTGCGGCTGCAGCGGTCTCATTTCGACGGAGGCGAGATGCTAGAGGCCTTTGTACTGTGCGATGTAAGCGCACCATAAAAACACCAGAGGGTCAAACTTCCTGGTGCTCTCCACTATGGAGTCTTTCATATTCATATCGTGGTTTCGGGACGTAAAACCGCAGTTATTATGCTTGCGTTATTTGGTTTTTTTATTATTGTATGGCACCCGGATTGTAAGCCTTTTTTGTGTGGTCCCGTCAAAGTGAATATTAAGGTTTTGTTTTTATAGATATGATGGTACTGTTTAATTTTCTGTTTGCAGATACTGTACCACCAAGTGCTACTTGCCTTGTTTAATCTGTTGTATTTTCATATGTGGTACTGAAGTCAAGTTGAGTGAGACTTGTTAATTTCGCACCCCTTCTTAGCAGTAGCACATTCGCACACTTTGCCAAAGTGCCATGTTTGCCACTGACAGCAGCAAAAATGGGGATACTTGGTTTTGTTGCCAAAGATGTGGCACACTCATCCTTATTCTTTGAAAGAAAGATGTATGTTCCATCTTTCACAGTATTTTTATAGTTTCAAAACACTGTAATATTTGAAGCTTGTGTAACAGAAACGCGCATTTTGTTCGAGGTAATTCAGTTGAGTGATATTTTGCCTTTAAGGGGTTGGACTTGCTTTATTATAATGAAAAATGTCTAATAAAGTGAAATTAGTGACATGTCAGCGTGTTGATAATAATCAATTCCAAATTTTTTGTGTGCACATTTGATTTTTTAACTTTTTTTCAATGATATTTCCCACATACAAACGCATGCACACTCAAAGAAAGGTATAATGAAAACTGCACGGTAAGAGTAGTCGTATAAGAAGAGTTCAACTATTTTTGTGTACGATCCGACCACTTCTGAACTCCACAGAATTGCAGTCATTTTTAATGATTCATTTTTAATTAACTTTCTGTTGATCATGCGTTTTTTATCGTGGGGTGGGAGGATGTATCCCAAAAATGTGTTTGTGTATTGCTAAAATGAGTTCTCCAGATAAGCAATTCATCAAATTTTTTTGGATGACCATCAAGTAACAAAGAAAAATTTGTGTTGCTTCATACACAAATATTACAAAAAGTGGCGAAAAAGTACTCAATTTTTTCTCGTTTTGCAGCAACGCAGAGCTAGGAACATGCCCTGAAGGAGGGGCAACAATATAAAAACAGATAAGGCATAGTCACATTTGATACACTCAGCATTGTCTTGCCACGCACATTTTTTTTAGATGTCTGTCCTTAATTATCATCAGAGTTTGAACTTGTTAGTAAATCCTCGTCCGATAAACTGACATCCAGTCAGATTCTGATCTGGCAGTTAGGCAGTAGTCCACATTAGAAGAATTGCCGCTCAACTTGCTAGCAGCAAAGCAAGGGGCACGCACTTGCATAGCGTAAGTAGACGGCGTGAGTGAATGCACGGTAAAAAACTATGAGGTTGTGCGCCTGTCCGAAAAGCAAAATGAGTGAAAAAAAAACTATAGTAATCGATCGTCCAATCTCCAACAAGGTGAAGTTAGTTTTATGGCCCCAGAATGGGAAACGCAACAGCGACGGGATTGTTTGTGTAATTTAGCACCATACAGAAACAGATATAATCATGCCCTGCAAAGCGATCAACGAGAGAAAAACAAATGGTCACCCTTGAGAATTTAGAAACCAGACAGCTATTTGCTTTGAGGGATACCCGAAGGACCAAACAAAATACGGCCTGACTGTACATGCACACTCGGAAAGGGGAGGGGGATAAAAAAGAATGGAGAGACATTGGCGTATGAAAAAAAAAAAAGTTTCATATATTCTTGATGCTAAGCAAGAGAAATGATGAAAAAGGCCCACCTTTTAAACATACTTGCAATGATGTACACTGTCGTTCTTTATGAAATTGAACACGTGATCGAGTGACCTGTTCTGTGCAATGGCTGCCTACAGTATCTTGCAGCGCTTGTCCAGCTGCCATAACTCGTTTTGTTTGCCAATAGATTATATCAAAAGCCATCTTTTATTTTGCTGTCTGTTGACGATGGTCCTGTAGACAGTTGCGGCAGGCCATGCACTCACATGTTTCCTTTCATAAAGGACGACAGTGTACATTGTGGGAATAGAGGCTAGCCCGCCGCCTTTTCTGCCGTTTTCATGTCCCGACATGTCTCTCCTCCTCCGCTGTCTGCCGCACTGGGAGAGCGGAGTGACATTTAACCCCCTCACCCGGTAGCGGATGTTGACTGTGGCGCCGCGCGCGGAGTCTTCAGAGAGGTTTTGCGCGCTTGCATTGGGAGCAGGCAGATACTCTCCGGGACAGCTGACGGTGAGCCACGCAATCTTTTTCCATTCGTCGCTCGGGGCTCATCGGACTTCGCTGACGCTGACGGCGCCTCGAGCCCGAGGCGAACGCTCACTTTTTGTTGCCCCTATGCGTACGCTCGGCCGAAGGGTGGTACTATGTCCTAGTGCGTGGCCAGGCTACGCCGACTCGTTTCCCTCCAAAGCCAACGCGAGCGCCTTTGCCCTCACTCGAGCAACCGGGCCTTGGTCCCGGTGTCCCCGTGAATCGCCTTTGCTGCGAAGACGTGTTTGTGGCACCCTGTGTAGTACTTTTATGCCCGGGGCGTGGATAAGCCCATTTGCTTTCCCGCCGCGCATTTGAAACGGGCTGTACTGCGGTTGGTGTTGCCACAGACAATAAAGTGTTGTGACCTTGAGCAGTATCGTGTTCTCGCCACGGCGACGGTTAACGCGTGCCCTGTGGCTCGCTGAGACCGTATCCAAGCTAGTGGCCGCACTCCTTCGGGATGCGTGTACACTACATGTACGTCTGACCATCTTGTGCCTGTTTGGAATGATGTACATGTAACTCTTTGACCACCATAGGGTTAATGGTACTACAGTGGTGCAGCCATATCTAATACAGAGTCAAGTGGCAGAAAGAATGTGTAAAATGAAACATGACTGCAAGTTAGAAGGGCATATCTGTCAACATTGCAATTATTGGAGCTTTAAGATGGCCATATTGATACTGATAGTTCACCATTAAAAATTTGCAAAGCAGTTAGGGCAAAAGTGTCTCTGTGGATCTCGTAAGCTCAAACAGGAGCTGGTACACAGTAGTGTAGCCAAAGAAACTGGTATTTATTGCACCTGCCATTTATTAAGTCTCTCTACAGCGATCTACGTCATTTGAAGTGTGTTGTACAATCGATAAAGTTCGATTCACCACATTAGCGTTTAGAGCAAGTAATGTTTGGCCACATTTAGCATCATTTGTCAAATTTTAGTACTTTGTAACTTAAAGTGCGGGTACTTCTGTGTATTCAAGTCAGTGCCACAAATATTTGCATGCTATCATTATGACCGTTCTGACAGTTGTTGCATTAATGAGGGAACATTGCACATTGGCTTGACTACTTGACCTTGGCTGTCTGATATGGCCTCCAACAAGTGCTCTAGCTCCCAGTTATGTCAGAGCTACCCAGTGCAAATAGGCCAATGCTTAGGTGAAAATGTGGCCAAAGTTACATGGTAATGGCTAATCAAATTGAGAAGAGAAAATGTGGTAACGGCATTAAAAAAAAGATTTTTATGTACATTACTAAACTTTTTGTTCTGGTTTACCTATTACTCTGTGTGCAATCTGTGAAGCATAGTCAAAATTATCATTCAGTTTAGTAATTATTTAGAAAACATTTTGTTTATAGACCAGCACCAATCCTTTGCATGCATGTTTAATTTGTGTCTGTGTTCGGTTCATTTGTCAGAGCAAGATGCAGTGGGTGAGGCACCAGACTGGTGAGGAGTTGATCTCTGTCATCACTACAGATGAAGTGGTTCAGATTTGGAGTCCCGACGAGGTAGGTTAGGGGCACAAATACATTTTGTTGATTCCAAATGTTCAGTGCTTTGCCCTCAAGTGCAAAAATGGTAATGTGCCCATCCAATAAGAACTTATCTAGGGGCATTGTTGGGATCTTGCATTAGTCAGTCATGGAAACTTTCTCATGTTCTGTTTTTTTCTGGCTGTATGCACTCACTGTGAAAACTTTTTTTTTCATGTCTGGTTCGCAAAGGGGAAAAAAATTGTCAATTACCAAAAAGTTTATTTGCTGACAAATTCATCCTTATCTGGGATTTGAGCTACAAACCAGGACGCACCACAAACGGTTTTAGGACAATCTTCCCTGATCTGACGTTTCTTACACCTTGTGGGCTTCTACTGAAAGTGGCTTGCTATGAGCAGAATTTTTTTTCTCTGAAAATTTACAGAAGTTTGTTATTGTAAAGCCTCACTGATCCAGGTTTGATAGGACTGGTTCGTGTGTTTAGATTTAGGTGCACGTTAAAGAACTTAGATTTTTGGAGTTCTCCACCACGGCATCTCTCATAATCATATGGTGGTTTTGGGATGTTAAACCCAAACAGTTATTATTAGCTTTATTTATTCAATATATTCAATACAGTAATAGAATACAATGGAAAAAATGCGAATAATACAGAAGGAGGTCCGAAAGTGAAAACTGTCAGGGAAACCTCCTGTTAGAACAAGTAAAAATAACGTAAACAATGATTGACAACTAAGAAACTGTAAAGGTACGAACAAACTGGCGGGAAGCATGTCGTGGCGGTGTTCCGCCCGTCGGTGGCTCCGCTCGGCCACATTGGCGGCGCCGCGGGAAAAGCGTGACAAAAATGAACATGTCATGACACGCGCACCCACCTGCTAGCTGCCGGCTCGCGGTTTGTTTTCTCCGCAACTGACGGAAAGAGAAAAAGGCATAGGTGAGGAGGTGCGGCCAGTGTGAGGAGGAAGGGAGAAAAGGCAGGCGTTCATTGGTGGTTTGCTTGCGCGGGAGCCAGCGGCAACGGCAAAAATAGTCCGAGTGATTTGGTCGGCAGCAGAAATTCCACGACGCTCGACGGGAGAAAGAGAGAAAAGCAACGTCTCGCGAGCGGCGTGCGGGTGAGCGCGGGGCCGCCAGTGTGTTCGTACCTTGAGAAACTATTTGAATATAACAAACTAGCACTTATTAAAGATTTATCGAAGGATATACATTCATAGTGAGTATATACATATACATAAATACAAATATATATATAGCAATACATGAATTAACAAAAGAATCTGGTAATGCATTTGTTTTATGCAATTAGTGAAATAAAGGAATCATATTGAAATGAAATAATGGCGCTGTTCACTTATAAGAAAAAAAACAGAAAAGGTCTACAAATTTGAAAAAAATTTCAGTAAACTTGGTACAATTTTTTTTGGAAACTGTAGTGGAAGGTTTAAGCTGTGAGGCATCTGGTATATAGCACAATCTCAGTAAATATATGCATTTGTACTGGTCGTATCCCTTCTGTGTGAACGAAGCAATGACCTGAATCTCTGCATCTTCACGGCCACTACATTTTCCTGTTTTGTGGTACCGCACACTCAATGCAGGACAAAGCTTAGGTTGCAGAAAATGGCAGTGCCCGTATAATTTTTCAAAAACGACTTTGCAGAGTGTACAGTAACTCAGATGGACAATTTTGGTTTTGCAGGTTCATCCAAGAAAAGTCATTACGAGATCAGACTTGACTTCGATGTTCACTGTAAGTAAGATTTGTTTTCCAGCTGATAACAATGCACACATGTTACGTTTCAGATGCCAGCAATATGAAATTACTGAATAAATTTCTAATTCTGTCAGTCAGTAGTTTATCCAGTACATCCACAATGACAAATGAGGTATGATAAATGTGAACTCCTGTACTATTAGTGAACTCCTGTACTATTACGAAATTTTCTATGGCACATTTGTGTGCATTCGCTGGGAGAGCAGAGGTAATGTTTATAATACTCACGTGCTTCTTCTAAATTCTAGGCTTACTTGTGCATAGCATTAAAATATATTTTAATTCTGCAGGGGCGCAACAGCTGCACTAATTAAGTACGATTTCCCATTTTTGTGCCGAGCTGCACCAAAACCATGAAATTTGCCAAAATTGTGCCACGCTGCGCCAAAATGCCCGACCAACCTAAAAATTTTTTCAGCTGCACTAATTTCAGCGATAAATGGAGGCCACGTTGGCCTCTTGTAGTTAGTGTCAGTGTCAATCGATTCGGGGATCCATGCGTGCAGACGCCAATTTTGAAATACGTTTTAAGATACTCGTAAGGCCAGGACACTCCCGAAATGCGATAGACCACATGAAGTAACACCGCTCACCCGTCCGAACTGACCTCAGCGGATATTTATCAGTGGGACGACGCAACTTCAAGACGAAAAATCGCAGCATACCCACGAAGTGAGTGGTGGTGGCAAGTAGGCGAAGCTTTGGGGATCATTAAACCTCATACATTGCCTACTTGATATGGCGAATCGCGCCATATCCACGAGGTGAAGGATGAAGGAGCTTACTCTGTTCGTCCGCGTAAGCTCAACTAGGACTACACTAAAGCACGCGTCTCCTACAGATCAGAGTGGAGCTAGTGCCGCAGCGCTATCTAGTGAGTACTAGGTGTGGCTACAACGCCGACGGACGCGGGACAAGCCTACACCCTTAGGCAGGAGTGGAAGTGCTGCACTATTCTGCGTCAATCGTGCTGTGCCTAAATGGCAATTTGCGTGTGCAACGTCAAATTTGGTGTTTTATCATCGACCGAGCGATAAGCGTGGACTACACAAAGGACACAACTGCATCCATATCCAATCAGTTCAGTCGCGTATTTCCGTTCATGCATGAATATTGTTAAGGTGGCATTTGTGTGCATACTTCATTATGCGACTCTATATATCTTCTAACAGCAAATCTGATAGCCGAACCATATAAACTAAAAAAAAAAATAATTTATTTCACAGGCGAAGCGATGACTGCAATAGCAAGAATTTATAATGTTGTAAGAGTAATGCCTCACGCGCTCCTTTCCTTCTATTTTTGCTACCGCAACATTGCAACATTACAAGTGTAACCCTGCCTTGCGCAAACCGCGCCCAAATGACTGGGAACAATCTAGATAATCTTCGAACCTTCAAATGAGATTAGTGCACAAAGCTTACATTGTGGTTTTGGAACTAGCGCAGCCGCTAGCGATAACGCTGGAATCTTCGATGGCACATGTATAAATGCTGACGCACTCTGCTGCTTGGCAGATTATTGGCTGCAGACGCTCTGGTTTGCTGCTATCGGTCCACAGCGTTTATTGCTTGTAGAGTGATGTTTCGTTTTCTTATGCAAGTTTCTGCAAGTTTCGTTTTCTGTATGCACCCTTCGCCCAAGCGTACGTAGAGGGGCAACAAAAGGTGAGCGAGGCACCGTCAGCGAAGTCCGACGAGCCCCGAGCGACGGGAGTCGATAAACGGAAAAGATTGCGTGGCTCACCGTCAGCTGTCCCGGAGAGTCTCCGACCCGCTCCTGACGTACGCGCGCAAGACCTCTCGAGAGACTCCGCACGCCGCGCCACAGTCAACATCTGCTACCGGGTGAGAGGGGTTAAACGTCATTCCTCGCTCTCCCAGCGCAGCAGACTCCGGAGGAGGAGAGTCATGTCTGGATGTGAGAACAGCAGAAAAGGCGGCAAAGCTCGCGCAAAGGCAGTGGGCTAGCCTCAATTCCCACACTATCTATATGGAAACACCTGCAGACTTACCGCAAGACAACAAAAATTTACTGAGAAAAGTGTGCGAGTACACTTGTGTCTCACGAAAACCCATGCAATGCTTTACCGAATTTCTTTGTCTGTTTGAAGGGAAACATTTTGTGCAACATTATTTTTTATACTGTTCACTCAGGTCATTTACCCACAAAATATATATTCTGAATTTTTTTGTTACGAATATTATTGCATATATCGTTTTTATTCACCGTTTACCAGCTGACAACCAAATATTTTACTTTTCACATATTTATTTATTCTAAAATTTTTGTTGCTCTACAACATATATTTTTTGGAAAGAGCATTTCATTGTGCAAAGTTAGGTATGCTAGAATGTGTGCTGGAGTACTTTACAAACTGGCAGAAACTATCCTCCTGAGATATATGAGAAACAACCATTTTCGTGCTGTAACAAAAGAGTTGAAACAAGGCCAAGACATTTTTGAACCGCTACACACATGCTCACGCACGCGCACACACACACACACACCCTTTGCTTTCACGATGGGGTTAGGATTTACCAGATAATATAACAATGGCGCGCACCCATTGGCCTGTCGATGGCACCGGTTATCTATCACGGGGGCAATTGAACTTCAGGACAGAAAAATGTTTTAATGTGCCGTTTCTTTGGCAACCAACATGGTCGCTGCCAGCGCCGGCGTCCGCAGCACGTAGAGTTTTTCTGCCCGTAAAAAATGCGGCAAACACTTCCAGCTTTAGTTACTAAAATGCCATAACAGTGTTTGCTGACTAGGCTGGAATTCATGTTCCTCGCAAAGTGTTGTTGGCTACGGCATGCGCATTTTTGGCTTTAAAGGGGCCCTGCAACACTTTTTGAGCATGATCAGAGAATATTGCCGATCGGTAGTAGAGGCTCCCGAAAACAGGGGAGTCAAATACTATATCGCAATTCACAATAACTTATCAAATCAGGGAATTAAGCCCAGTAAGCCCATCTATCAGTCGTTGGCTGATTTGAACATGGCGCTCGGTTGTTGTAGAGATCGCCGCGAGAGGCCGTTACTTGTCCACGCTAAGGTCCCTAGATGAAACAAGTTTTCAAGGTACCGACACCTTTTTTTTTTTTCCTCGCCTACATTTCTGGAGCGCCCCCTAGAAGGTTCAAAACTTCCATCAAAAAGCAAATGTTTCAGTTCAGTTGCTACGGTGAAGAGATGTAAATGAAACAAAATAGAACCAAATGAGTCGTAGAATAAACGGTTACCTTTATGAACCTAAACCGTACAACACAAGGACAAGCGGGGTGTGCGTTACTCAACAGGCAACGTTGTGCAGTGCTAATTTTACACTACTAGCCATAGCGTATCTTGTCGTACATCGTGTTCGTCCAGTTATAACTAGTCCAGTTCCCCGAATGTGTTTTCGTGCTGTGACACAGCGAATAGCCTTCTTACTGGATCCTGTCAGTGACAACCGGGCGTGACGTTGTGACGAGTGATTTCAGCTGGCTTGTGCACACGCGAGGAAAACCATGGTCAGACTAGTACGAGCGCTTGACTATAGCAGCATTGTGATGACGTTTTTTTTTTTTTTATGCGCCATTTTTGACAATTGTGATGCCATGTGATTCTGGTGTAGTGTGCGGATCTTCCATAAAAGTGAGTTCTGCTGGTGAGGTGTCCCGAAGCAGCACATTTCGGCTGCTTTATGCTGCGTTCTCGTCAACTGGTCAAGTGTGAAATGTTCCTAAAGGTGCGTTGATTACACGCTCCAACTGCTCTGTATACATGCGTACGCACAAGTATTTGTAACTGGCATGCCTTAGACGCGCATTGGACGCCCTTCTGGCATTTCAATAAAAAGTGACAAATAAACTCGCTTCGCAGATACGCGTCGACATACTTCGACGAAGTTGCACTAAAGCATTCGCATGAAATGTTTCATAGCTACACTTCATGGTGTGCTTCATGTCGGATAGCACGAGGCAAGTTGAAGAGAGCGAAACCGTTTTATGTTTTACGGCAACGCAGCATTGTTTAAAAACTCTGATATTGCGTTGAAGGAGCACAGCGAAACAATCTTGGTCGACTTGGCGCACACTCAAACGCTCCTCCTCTACAGTTTGTCTTGGCTACGATTTTGTCTTTGGTCACGGCGAGAATCCATCTGGAGCCATGTGTGCATGCGTACTCGTTTTGAACATTTTGCATAATAATAAATAACACCACGAACCACTTGAAAGATGACGTGCTAGGAATGGACCAATTACAGATGCGAATGGCAGAGAAAAGGAGGGCTTAGCAAGAGAGTGAGGAGGATGGCTCTAGAAGAATGAGTGACACTACCTTGGAAACTTGTTTCATCTAGGGACCTTAGTCCACGCATGTGTGCGCGATCGCACTGAAATAGCCGCATATTCAAAGAAAAAAAGAAAAAGCTCAAGGTCACAAGGCGCGAGTGACGTTTTTTTTTTTTTGTTTGTTTGCCCCTCCCATCCATCCCTGCACAGCTTTCAGCGATTTTGTCGGACGAGAGAAGAGAATATGATTGCAGCGTTTGACAAATCTTTGTAACCCCGCTCGTACTGGACGGATTCTTAAAATTTTTGTGGCGTTCAATTTGTGAAGTTATATGCTTTTCCAGTGAATTAATTCCATGGTTACTCAAAAAAGTGTTTCAGGGCCCCTTTAAGTAGCGTCGTCCCACTGATCAATATCAGCTGCAGTCAGCGAACCGACAGGCATGTGGCGGCGTGACTTTATTAGGCCAATCGCATCTCGCAAGTGCCCTGACCTAATGAGTGCATATAGTACACCATGGTTTAGGGTTAGGGTCTGTACACTGATTGGTAACAGACTGCGGGTCTCTTGCGCAAGGTAGAGCAACTAAGAAAATCCTGAGGCAGGACAGTCATTTTAGTGCAGTGTGGTACAATTTGAGCAAATTTCATGGTTTCGGCACAGCTTGGCACAAAAATAGGGAATTGTATCAAATTGGTGCAATTGGCACAACTGATGCACCCCTGCATGCATCACTATGCCATGTTTAAATAAAACACTGAAACGAAGGCTGCAGAGAAGGACCCAAATAGATCGCTAACACTCTTAACACTAGCAGCCATCTGCCCTTAGAAGGTTACTGACAACGCCGCAATACAGGTGCGGTATCCTGGAGCAGCCACCTATGCCTCGCTCTATCCTATTCTTATCATCAAAAGTAGCAGCTGGCTTATTTTGTTGATAACATGAAAGAAATATGTCACTCTGACCAGTGACCACACTAACCAAGCGAGAAAAGAATTAAAAGCATTGGTGTCGGAAAAGGCATCGCTCTGCAATTGCACTCAGCAGTAACGTGGACAACTGAGGCAACGGAGCTTTGACTTCAGATTATCTACGGCTAGGAAGTAGGCCAGTGGCAAAAGTTAGGCAGTCTCATTGCCATCATCATCATTAAAAAAGAAATGTGCGTCGGATTTTTTTTTTTCTTCGTGCTACTTATACTCCTCATTTTTATGAATACGAATCTCCTGAATTTCAAGGTTGCCAGCTTGGCACGACCACATTTGAATTTGCGAAGTCGAACATTTAGACAGGTGCAACAAATGTTAATGTGTATTTCATCATTGCTCATACAGTGGGGTGGTTCAAAAATATACTACTTTTATTGAAATAGCAGTGCTCACGTTCACTCTGAACAATTTAGTGGATTTTGAAAGGTTTGTACATATTTTCTGTTTCTAACTGGCCCGCCATGGTGGTCTAGTGGCTCAAGCACTCGGCTGCTGACCCGCAGGTCCTGGGAATCCCAGCCGCGGTGCCGTCATTTTCAATGGAGACGAAAATCGATTATACTTGAGAGCACGTTAAAGAACCCCAGGTAGTTGAAAATTCCGGAGTCCTCCACTATGACATCTCTCATAATCATTTATTATTAGTAGTATATTATTAACTGCTCTAAATTTGATATCTGAGGTTTCCCAAAATCGCCATGTGATTATGGAAGACTTTGTGGTGGAGGGCTTTGCAAATTTATGTCTCCAGCATTGCTGCCACCATCGAATGCCTATGTCATGCTTTCAGTTGACTAAAAGTAGTGTCACCTCTACTGCAAGCATTTTGCGTGTGATCATTCACTCACTTAATGGGTTTATGACGATCAAATTGCTGTAAAGCCCTTGTAACAAATAGTTGTGCATTTCTATCCCCTTTCTTGCTGGTTAGTAATTTTGCTGGCATTTTTTATAGGATTTCTTTGAGCGGGGGCTGACATGATCTGCTTATTTCCTTCTGTCTACAGGAGCCAGTTCGAGTTGATCACATTGTGGATAATGTGATGTTTGAGGACAAGATGTATATCACGGCTGGTTCTGCCAAGTAAGTTATTGAGGTTTTTTTTTTTTTTTATCTGCATAAAGATTCCCGGTCTCCCTCTTTGGGGGATCTGTTTCTTGTTTTATGTGTAGAAAGGTCTGTTACTCCAAGGTAGTAGCTTTTGTGGAGGATTTAATTTTTCTGGGGAAAGTATCTTGAGAAGGTGTAACTCTTTCTTAAGGTTGGTTTGGAGTACTGACATGAAATTTTGCAGTGACTTTGTTAAATGCAAATTGCAGTAGAAGGCTTTTTGTGCAGATATATAAATTAAGTGCTTATGGGGGTAAAACAGGCTTTGGTCCTATTCATTATGATGGCTCGCTGAAGCTAAATATTGTTACGGAAGAAAAGAGACGCTGGATCGACGAGGGTGTGGATGAAATATATTTCAAACCAGCAGCAGCGGCGTGACTGGTTGACCAGACACCGAGCGGAGACCACTCTTTGTTACGTTCGTCAGGCACACACGCGCATCTTCCCACAAAATGTCAACATGCATGTAACATATCCCCGGCGGCAGAAGCGCTGTCTAGGTGTCAACATCAGCGGGAGAGTGGTAAGGCTTCAAGAATGCCACATGTAAGATATCGGTGGTCTATGGGGCAGTTGAAGGTGATGAGGCAGCAGGGGCGATTTCGTGTGTCACAGGAGTAACCTCGGGAAGGACTCAATATGGACCTGTGTAGTGGGAAAGAAGTTTTTCCGACAAGCTGACTTGACGGGTTGGGGACCACAGCAGGACCAATGAATTGGGTAAGAAGTGCACGTCGCGGTGCTGTTGATAGTACAAACGCCGCTGGTTCTGTTGATAGTCCAGAAAGCAAGTGCTGGCGATTTCACATGCGTGGGCGGCCCGAGTGATAGCGTCAAGGGCATATTCGCTGGTCGGTGTCGCGGTACAGAAAAAATGGAGAGTAAGCAAGCATGTCTGCAAGTGTTCGACTTGAACGCTTTGCGAGTCCATTTGTCTGCGGGTGGACGACGTAGTGAGCTTGTGCCTCGTTTCACATGACTGAAGGATATCGGCTATGACCTTTGATGATAAAAAGGTGTGGCCACGGTCTGTAAGCAGCTGCCATAGAGCTCCATGTTGCAAGATCACGTCATGTAGGAGGAAGTCGGCGACATGTGGCACAGCTTGTTGTAGGTGCTCGTGTGATGGCGTAGCGCGTGGCATAGTCTGTGGCCAAAGCTATCCAACTTTTGCCAGAAGTAGACAAGGAAAAATAGCCCAGGAGGTCTAAGCCAACGCGGAAGAAAGGTTGTTACGAAATGTCAAATGGTTGAAGGTGCCTGGCGAGAAGCGTCGATGGTGTTTTGCGGCGCTGACATTTATCACAAGCCGCAACGTATCATCTGACTGTGCGTGAAAGCCCTGGCCAAAAAAAGCGTCGGCAAATCCAGTCGTAAGTGCGGGACACACCAAGGGGACCGGCAGTTTGAAGGTCATGGAGTTTGTGGAGAACTGCCGAGTGGAGGTGTTTTGGAATGGCGAGCAGCTGGGCTGGTCCATCTGGGTAGAAGTTCTGGTGGTATAGCACACCATCGTGAAACACGAATGAGCGATGGAACCTGTCGGAAAATGGTGATTCGAGATGTTTGATTATAGCACGCAAGGATGCATCACGGCGTTGCTCGTCATGGATGCGGGTCAGTTGCGAAACTGAGAAGACACAAGTGTTGGTGTCAGAGATGGTGCTTAATTCATCGACCGGGTAGCGGGAGAGGCAGTCTGTGTCCTGATGTAGGCGTCATGACTTGTACATGACTGTATAGGTATATTCTTGCAGTTGCAGAGCCCAGTGCCCAAGCCGGCCAGTAGGATCCTTCTGTGACGAAAGCCAACATAGCGCATGGTGGTCTGTTATTGCAGAAAAATTTATGCCATATAAATATGGGCGGAACTCTTCTCTGGTCCCGCCGACAATGAACAAAGCAAGGCCTGGGAGCGTACGATTCCTCGTGCTGACAAACCACTGGAAAAGAACTGCGTTGTGTGCGAAGCTCATTTCGATGACAGATTCATCGTCCTTAGCTACAAGCATGTTATCAACGGGTTCTTAGCAACTTGGGAAACAACTATACCTAAGGAGGGTGGGTTCCTGAGTGTATCAACTGCCGAAGGACTCCATGTCACTCTAACCAGCACCCTTTCCATCCGGTACTATGTCATGAAAACCTTGGGCTATACACACTTGATGACATCTTGCCACTGCCAAGACGCACTTGAAATACTTTTGGAATTCTCAAGCAAATGTCTGAATCGAACGATCACCCTTCGCCGACACAGGTTTTTATCTCTGTGACTTGCCTCAGTTTTTACAGTTTGGCACAGTCACCCACATTGGAAACATACCTTCTGGAGTTCCGAGCAGCCTTATATGTCCGGGCATCCACAATGATTCAATAAAATTGCAGAATAAGCTGGATGAGCTGCTAGACGTGGGGCGCCTCAATGAGGTTCATGAAATTATTGTTGCTTGTGAAGGCCTCCCTGACTACACTGATCTCATTGGACGCAAAATTGACTCCCGGATCACTTATTACGTCAGTGGCTATGTGGCTCGGAAGATGGTGAAAAAGACGAAGTGCAACAAATGTAGCAGGTTGGTGCTTCACTCAGAATTACAGCTTGCTTCCGGCAGAATCATGCTTTCTGTACCCGTCCGAGTACTTAGCAGACCTGGTGAAAGCTATGGGAGAGGCACTTATCTATTGCTTCAGTTTTAACAAGTTGAAAATTGACAGCATGACAGACCTAATCTCTTGCCTGTCTGTGAAGAGGTTAAATATGGTCGGCTGTGAACAACATAAACTGGAAGTGACAAATCAGATTATTAGATTCATTACACTGACCAGAATGTATTTTCTCTTGCTGGAGGAAATGCGTCCAATCAAAAAAAAAAGAGAAAAAATGTTCTTGAAGTTGAGACGTCTGACTTACCTGTCACAGTATTAACTCAGCGAACAAGGTTTTATTTTATGTTATTGTGCATTATTCACACTCTCTAGTTTCTTGGGATTTTACTGTCTTGTTCACATTGTTATAAATACCCATTAACAACTGTGATATCACTGTCTGCCTGTGTTCGCATATGTAGAAATCAAATTTTAGTGAACTGGTTTCTGACTGTATCTATGTTGGCCAATGAAATCTCAATGTAATGTGTGTATGTATGTCCACTTTATCATCGTATATTTACTGTTTTCTTTAGTAGCCTTATTCACTTGCTTTAGCTGAGTTTCATATAGCTTTCAGTTTTCTTCACCCTAATGCATATGTTGTGTTTATTTTCATGTTGTTTTTCGCTTTCGAGAAAATAAATGTCTTGCTGGTAAAGTTAGACCTTGATTGCGCAAGTCTTAAAAATAATGGTTGCCTATACTTTTACGTGCATTGACTTCACAGAGAACACTGCGGCATCAAATTTGAAAACTGCACGAACTTCGTTTTAGTGTCAAGCTCACAGCAAGTCACTTGATTCTCTATCTTCTAAGCTTCGTAGCTGATACACTACGAAGTGAATTGAAAACACTAGTTTTCAGTGCCAATACACGCTTTGCAGCGCGCTGCCAGAATTGTGACAGACACTTTGTTACATTGTGACAGGCAGACTTTGTTACAATCCGCAGGGTAGCGTGAAATATTTGCAACGAAAAACTACTGATACGTGCGAGGAAGGGCATCTCGAAAAATGACCTCAGCGCCGCCGCATCCAGATGAATTCTCGCGCGCTCTCCGGCGCGCCGATGCTGACGCCTCTCCTTCTAGCCACCACACCACCGCTGACACTGACTCGGTAGCCAATGGCGATGTGGTTGACCGTGCCGCGCGTTTCAAACCACATGGTAAAAAGGCCTTTTTTTTATATTATTTTGCTCGCATACGAAACTGGCAGTCGTCCGATCTGTAAGAAGGCCAAACGCAACTTTCCCAACTGGTCGCTACGCCGGGCGGCGCTGCAATGGGGAGCAGCACGCATTCAAAGGTGGCTAATATTAGCGGGAATTCGCGAAATTTAGAGCCACGGCGACTCGTTTATACACATTATTTTCCATTTTCCTGTTCGAATTTTGTTTTGAAAGTTTCACAGATGATAGAAGGGTTGAGGATTACAATTCAATAAAAACCAGAAATATGAGAATTTTCGCTAAAAAAACGCTTTTTCGACTCTCATCTCCCCCGATGCCAACAGCGCGTGCAGCCACCACCGCCTTCACATTTACGGCGAAACTATCTCGGGAACTCCCCTTGTCGTACCGTTAGCTCGCCTGGCTTCTGCCGTCCGCCGTAACACGTGGCGACGTATAACAATATTCCCATTGCAATTCAGCCAATGCATTGTTTAGCTAGCCCTGAAAAGAGCAGTTTATATAAAGAAATTCGACGTGGCCGGTGCTATCTCATAGGTTAGCACTTGGGCGCAAAGAAGTCGCCTATTTTCTTTTGCACTGGGTTCTGCTTGCCCGCCATCATATCTGCCTCAATTTCAGTCAGCGTCATGTTGCCACTGTACACCGATGACAGTGTCGTCAGCGCTCGCTCTTGGATGTGTAGGAGTTGGCTCTTCGTTCCTGATGTCGAAGTCGTCGGAATCCTCCATATCTTGACGAATGATTTTGTCATCGGTCAAGTCCGCACATAGCTCGAGGTCTTTGTCAGCGTCGGCGAAGCCCTCAAAGGTTATCCCGGCTGGAATCGACACGCCGGCAGTGCACAGATCGTTGAAGGCAACATCCGCGGATGGCAGTTCGTCACACATGCTGGCCACTTAATTCGAGACGGCCATCTCATCGTCGAGTGTGAGGCCCGCGTGGCAAAAACAGTTCCGCAGTCTCTTGCGTAACCGCCTTACACGATTCTGCTAGCATGCCGATGGCAGACCTGAGGTCAACAGCGTAGCTTTTGCCATTGTGAGCCTACGAGGGGGCTTTGTGCGCTTCGAAGGCGTGGACGAAGACGAAGGAGCAGTCGGTGCCATCGCTGTAAACAGCGAATCCGC